AAGCTTCCAGATTATTTAGCTTCACCCTCTTGCGACACCGAGCAGGACGCTGAGGCAGAAGGTAGTGGTTAGCTGGCGAAGGGCAGCCTGCTGCGGGGAGCGGAGGCAGGGCCGGCGCCCAGGCCGAGACTCCTGGGCCCCGCCCTGCCCTCATGCCAGGCTGCCCTCCACTTCTAAGCGGGGAACCTGAGGAGCAGGGCCTCCTGGCAAGTTCAAGGCAGCCTCGGGCTGGATTTCACACTCTTCTAGGAGTTTGCTGCATTGAGATTCTGTCAGTCCTCATGGGAAGTAGCCCAGCCTGGCTGGTCTTTAATGTCTCTACAGTTTGGCATCGCTCCCCAGCCATGCAGGCCACCCTGCAGAGCCACAGTCTGTCCCTCTGTGGAGAAGCAGTGAGGCACCTCATGCAGATACATGGTTTTCAGGGTGTTTTTAAAGACATGTTTCCAAGGATAATAGTGAGCCTGTAGTTTCTGACTTTGTAGCTCCTTGAGACACAAGGTCCACGGTGACTGTTACTTGTACAGTATCTCCCCTTTCCTGCCTTCCCCTTCGCAATGTATTTTAACAGCCGGCGGTTAGGAAAGGTGCTCTGGGGCAGAAGCGGGTGCCTGGGCCCTCCATCCGACACTGTCCACGGGAGGATGACTGTCCCAGAGCCCGGCCCGGCCACTGATGGTCTTCGACCCACCGGGCCCATGGAACGAGCAGCGAGGAGCGAGCCGCGGTCACTGTTCTTTACCTTCGGCGCCCGTATTTCATCAGTTCTTTTTGGACACATCCCCATTTCTCCTAATATTCCTCTTTGTCCCTTTGTCTTGTAGGATTCCTTTCAAGATTGGACAGCCCAAGAAACAGATTGTCCCCAAGACAGTGAGTAGCCCTGTTCCTTCCCTTTGAGACTCAGTCCTGTCTCACACGGCCTTTGCCAAGAACCAGAGCTTTGACCAAACCCCTCACGGGGCTGGGAAGGCAGAACCTGGGCCCTGTTGCGCTGGATGGTGCGGCTCTAGAACTCTGCGCCGACGGCCGCTTGCAGGGACCTCCTGTCCTAGGACGTTGGCCTCCTTCAGCTCAGCCTGGGTGGGTGGAAGAGGTGGATTCCCCGGGCGAGAAGGAACACACCGCTTCGGACAGCTCATCTCTGGGATCAGTCCGAATGTTCCTGAGACGGAGCCTGAAACAGGGACCCCTGCCAAGGACACATCCTGGGCCTTTATCTCAGGCCACTTCAGGCTGCGTGTGCGACTGAGAAGCTTCTCTGGGACTCCGGGTCCATTTGTCTCCACTGCTAAATGCATCCCTAGCCAGGACCCAGAGGCACTCAGCAGCAGGGCAGGGAGGGGGAGGGAAGTAACTGAATCCTTCCCCCTTATAAGCCCACAGTTTTTATCCCTATTTTATCTCCAGCACAGGAGAGGAAGAGAATCATAGCTTCTTAGAAAGTTAGAGCTGGAAACCCTTAGAGAGCTTCTCCAACCCCTGCTATTCCCTGTGGGGACACTGAGGCCATGGGGATGCAGTGACTTTCTAAGGTGAGGAGGCGCTCAGGCTGGCGGAGCTGGAGTGAGACCTGCAGCGGGAGCCCCGTCCAGGGTTTGCTTGCTCGGTGGCTTTATGCCGCCTCGCTGGGGCGAGGCCTCCCAAGGCTGGGAACTCCAGCAAAGAGTGGCCACTGCAGCCATACCCGACAGCTCTGCGCGAGGCCCTTGGGTTTCACCTGGGAGGCTGTAACTGTCGCACATCTCTCGGGAGGGCTCCAGGAAGCCAGGGGGAAGCCTTGGCAATCCCTGCAGCCCCTGGTGCTTCTCCTTGACTTAAGTCTTTAAAGGCCTCGTCCCAGGACTCAGGGCTTGGCTTAGGACTCAGAACTGCAAGAAAGATAGGGCTTCAGAAGTTGGCAAAGAGGGGAGTTCCGCAAACATCTGTCCAATGGCTCTACCCCTGGGAAGTCCAAAGTTAGGTCACTTAAAAAGAAATGGGCCCGTGTTAAAGGGCCCTCCCCCATTTCCAAGCAAAGTCTGGCCGGACAGACTCTTGAGTTCACCTCCCATGCCGAGGCTCGCCATCTGTGGGGGCTCTCAGCTCTCAGCTTGAAGCGCAAAGAATCTGGGCGTGCAAGTGTTGGGCTCTGGCCGGCTGCAGGAAGTGGGAAGGTGTGGCTTTGGGTCTCCAGAGTTTAATCCAGGGCAGATCTGAAAGGGAAGTGGTTTTGAAAAGGGTCTTTTATTCCCAACACTCACTACCAAAAAACAAAACAAACAAAAAACCCTCCCGACTCCCCAAACTTTATCGAGATGATCTTCTTCTCCACAGAGAAGTATAGCCCAGAAAGCAGCTCCCAGTCTCCGTGCCAGAGCTTGTTGATGGAAAGGTCTGTGGGTGTTTCAGTCAAGGACTGGCAGGGCCTCCCCAGGGGAAGGGCAGATGCCCTTGGAGGAAACTCTCAGCGCCTGTGCGGGCCTCTGAGGACCCGTGGCTCCCTCACGCCTTCCTTGCGCCAGTCTCGCTCGGGATGAAACTGGGGTCCTCGCACTGGGGCATCCGCCCCCCTCGCCGGCTGGGCACTGAGACGTGGGGGAGAAGCGGGCTTGGAAGATCCCCTGCCTGGATTCCCATCCTGGCCCTGGTGTGCTTTCTGGGCCTTCGGCAAGTTCCTTGCCTGCTCTGAGGCTCGGCTTTCGCCCTCATGCCTTGAGAGTGACGCTAGGACCAGCGTCGTTAATGTCCGATGAGCCTCCTGTGAGGGGACGCACCTGAGGCACTTCACAGCGTCTGGCACATAGTGAGGCCCCAATAAACACTCACTGCGTTGCAGGAAGAGACCGTTTGCTAGCCCACCAAAGACTCCGCTGGTCCCAGCGCCTGGATTCCCCGTTGCAGCGAAGTGTAGGCCAGGATAGAGGCATTTTGCTTCCTCGACTCCCAGGTGGCTCTAAAGTGTCTGCAGCAAGACCCTGCCTCTTCAGAGTCTCATCCTCTACTTCACAAGCCCCCTCCTGGTCCCGCAACCAGGCCAGGGCTGGGTGGTTACCTCAGCGTCTTCGCAGCTGCCCCCAACAGGGGGGACACACCCTGCGGTTCTTGCCCAGGCACTTTCAGGGAGGGGGTGGACAGGGCCTCCAGGGTTATTGGAAGTCACAGCACCCTGTCATGGGGAGAAGCGTTCAGGTTATCTTCAGGGAGTTTCAAGATGTTTTTGGCTCAAGGCTGCCCACTGTCAGACACAGAGAAAGCACTGTGTTCGCGGCTGCCCTCATAGCTCTCCTGCGCCCAGGCCACTCATGCAGATGCCACGATTGTCACGGCTCTGGCTGGAGCGGCCTGCTCTCGGCAGGGGCCAACCAGTGGAGCCTCCCTGTCCCAACCGTGGCCTGGTCCTGTCCTCTCCCACAGTCCCATAAATAGCTGGGGCACCTGGTGGGGCGGAGGAAGCCGCGCCTCCCTCCGTAGCCCAGGAGGGCTGGGAGAGCTCTCAGGAGCAAGGTGCCCCTGGTCCTCGCCCCCGGAGGGAAGCATCCGCTTCGATCCCTAGCTAGGTGGGTGCTCTATGGAGTCAGGCAGAAGAGAATCCCACCCCGTGAGGTCTTCATTTGAGAAAGATTTCCATGGGCAAGATGAGGGCCATCAGCCTCGTCGCTGCCCTGTTGCGACGTGCCGCAGGCGGCGGCCTTCCCCCACGCGGCCTTGCAGAGTGGGCTCCTCAGCGGGCCGCCTTTCACTCACCGGGAGGGCAGGTTTGGGTGGGAGCTCACCCGTTCTCTCAGTGAAAAAGTACTAACGTCTGCAAGGCACCAGCCGACCTTAGCTCTGGGGACAGAGCCGTGAGCCGCACAGCACCCCCACCCTCTGAGCCTGCTGGGGAGCAGCCGAGGGGCATCCGACCACTCTCCCGCGCTCACCGCCAGCCGCCGCCCGCTCTGACCTGCTCACAGTCGTGCACATGTGTTTACACTCGCATTGTTGACTGTGGTCCAGCTGCCTTTTTGGCAGAGGCATCAAGCATTCAAAGATGTTCAGATCTTTTGTGTTTGGCTCCTTCCCTCAGGATGGATAGACCGCGGAGTAAGAGCCCAGGGTGTCCTTTTATTGCCCATCTGAGAGGCTAGGCCTGGCGGTGTCCCCCCCGGCTCTATCTCCAGTGGAGGAGAGAGGTCTCGGGACTGTGAGCTATAGAAGCAGCCCACTGCTGGCTACCAGGGCAGAGGTGAAACGTTCACGACCTCCTCCCAGGCTGTCAGATGGCCTTGAGGGACATACAGTAGAAGGACCAAGCTCACTCCAACACGCTTCTCAACTTCCAGTGTGAGACCTCGAGCTTCTCATCACCCGGAATGAGCTGGAAACCTGCGGTCCTTCTCTGTGCAAGACTCAGCAGCCCCAGCCAGGAAGACCAGGTGTTCTGTGACACCCCACACACCAGCGCGCTCGGGGATTGCAACAGAGGGCCAGCGGCCAGGGCCGCGGCCTCCCCTCTCAGAGCACCTGCTCTGTGTGCTTGATCTTTAGGAGAGCTGTGTTCCGGCCAAGACATCCCTAATTTTAATTTCATCTTTTTGGGAAAAAATGCTTAGCTCACATCCTATGAAGTAAGAAAGGAGATTTCCCATGGAGGGGAAGGCCCAGAACAGCCCCCTCCAGACACAGGACTCCAGGCTTAGCCACAGTCAGGGGTATCCTTGTTGCTGCTTCTTTATGCCAGAGGGTCCCTCCCCAGTCTGCAACGCCAGACCGCTCCGGCCCTCTCACCGCGGCAGCGTGGAGGAGGGGCAGGCCAGCACCATCCGTGGGCCAGGCTCCTTGCCCTGTGCTCCGCATACACTTGGGCGAATCCTCAAAACAAGCCGGTGAGGCGGACACTGTTACCGCATTTCTTTGTCAGCCCCTGAAATCTGCATGGGGTGAGGCCAAATAAAATACTTCGTTTTACTTGACAAGAAACTGAGACTCAAAGTGTTAGGTAATGCTCCACGGCTAGTAACAAGTTTTTGTCTTAATCCGTCTCTACCAGTTCCTCTCCGCACCCGCCCCCCGGCGCTGTGGGAGAAAGGTCTAGACCAACGTCAGTGCTGATTTTGGAGGGCCCCTTTGCTCCAGAACGGGTCTCTCTGCCGCGGTTGCCCAGGAGGCCTTCAAGGCCTTTAGCTGTGACTGATGCCTGTCCAACTACAAATCCGCTGTGCTAGGTAACACTTTAAATGCTTATCGAGTGCATGTGCTTTAGTGGAAGTGATTTTGCATTCTTTCCTAGGAGTAGCTTTTGGTGGATCATAAGGAAGGGCGATAACGAGAACGGTGGGTTCCTACAGGGATGGGGAGGGAGTGGGTCTGCTCCCAGTGCCAGGTTCCAGACGTGAGGGTCAAAGGGTGAGGAAGAGACTGGTGGTCCCGCTTGTGAATTTTCCAGTTCAAGTGAGGAAGGTCACTCGCTGTCCCTCCCTGGGGACCTCAGCTGAGTTGGTCTTCCTGTTCTGTCACTTCAGCGCCTTTGCCCCCCACAGGGCTTCCCGCAGATTGCAGTGACATGCGCGCGCGCACGCATGTGTATGTTATCATCCCTGCCAGGGCCGCGTTCCTGTTATTCGTCAGGGACTCTCTAGCACCTGGCCGAATGCATTCCGCCTAATAGGTGCTCCTTAAACGTTTGCGGGATGAATGAATGCAATTTATTTTTTCATCCTCACCTGAGGACATTTTTTCATTGCTCTTAGAGAGAGAGGAAGGGAGTAAGAAACATTGATTGGTTGCTTCCCAAACGTGCGCCACACTGGTGATCAAACCCACAACCCTGCGGTTATGGTTATGGGACAACGCTCCACCCACCTGAGCCACACTGGTCAGGGCTGAATGAATGCAATTTAAAACAAACACCATGCCCTGGCTGGTGTGGCTCAGCGGCTTGAGCGCCAGCCTGCAAAACAGGGTCGCTGGTTCAGTTCCCAGACAGAGCACAGGCCTGGGTTGCAGGCCAGGTCCCCAGCAGGGGGTGCACAGGATGCAACCACACATTGATGTTTCTCTCCCTCTCTTCTCTCTAAAAATAAATAAATAAAATCTTTTTAAAAAAGCTGAATACCAAAAGGCCTGGACTAGGAGTCTGAGTTCTGGCCTTGTTTTGCCACTCACGAGCCCTGCACCCTTAGGTCAGTCGCATCCCCTCTCTGGGCCTCATTTCCCTCATGTATAACTTGACATAGTGGCCCAAGTAATGTCCTGCCATCCTGTGACTGTGCTGAGCTCACCCCCCTCCAAGCGTGGAATGCAATGCGAGGATGGCAGGGTTTAGGATACTCTCTCAGTGGGGTGCGGGGAGGGGGGGGCGCGGGTTGGGGGGAGGTGCCTTTGCCGGAAGGGCCTGCTGGTGAAGAGCAGCGTGGCTGTGGCTCTGACGATCGATCGCTGCAGGTGTGCGCTCCCTGCCCTTCAGCCTGTAAGCTGAGGGCGGTCAGGATGCAGGGCTCTCGCTGGGTCTCGGGGTGCAGCCCACAAGTCGTCTTTCTTAGGCCATGCTTTAATTCCTCAGCAAATGCCTTTTCCCTTTTGCTAGAATGACAGTTCAGAGCACAGGCCTGGGCGCTCGGCCGCTCATAGCGGTGTGCCCATGCACAGGGGGCTTCCCCTCTGTCCCTGTGAGCCCCTCAGTACAGTCAGGGCCGGGAGCACACCTGCCCTGGGGGAGCTGGAGGTGAAGACAGTCCTGCGAGCCCGCAAGGCGCACTCCGTGGATGGAGCCCACGTAACTTCCCAGGGCGCCTCAAGCCGGGGGCTCTGCGCAGCAGCCAGGAGTGCTAAGCGTCTCGCCTGCCCTGCCATCCCCTCCTTTAGGCTCTCAGATGTCATTCGTCTCATGGGCCTGAGGCCGTTGCTGAGGCCCCTGTTCACAGTTGGGGAAATTCAGCCATGGAAGCGCAAGCTACTCTCTGGACCTCACCTGACGTGCAGGCGGCAGGAGGAGGTCCAGGACTCACACTGTTTGGTTTAAATATTGCTGGCATCAGGGAAATCTGATAATTAACTGAACAGGAACTTAGAGAGTCTTGCCGGAGTCAGTAGTTACAGTATTTGTGTTTGGTACATCCGAGTGCGCGGAGCTGGGACATGCGATCCTTCTTGATCTACCCTGAAGCTAGCAGGTGGTAGGACCTGTGACCGTGGAGGTGACTTGCCCAGGCCTTGCCTCACAGCTGCTGAGTGGTAGAGACAGAACTGAAGTCCTACCCCTCCCTTTTCATCTGCCCCCTGCTGCCACCCTGGCTGAGCGCCAGTCGCAGGCTGAGCAGCTCACCTGTCCCAGGAGGGGGTGGGGAGGGGGAGGGGAGGGAGCGCAGCCCCGTGCCTCACTCCCTGGGGTGGGAGAGCGGTGCCGCAACCCGCTGGTAATCCGCTGGTACTTGCCTGGCTGGCACATCTGGGAGTGCAGCCTCTCGCCCTCACTCAGACACTTAATTAGTTTGGGAACACAGGGTACTGCGCCGCTGATGACCTGCCGGTGCCTGCAGGAGCCGGATGGTGCCGTGTCTGTAGACCGAGGAGGGCGTGGAGGGCGTGTCAGGAGGCCGGCAGATTTTTTCCAGTGCCTTGTCATTTCTCTGATGATTGAGTTATCGCTCTCATTGCAGGTGGAGAGAGACTTTGAAAGGGAGTATGGAAAACTGCAGCAGTGAGTGTCACCGCTCGGGAGCGTGGGGGTTGGGGTCGGAGAAGGACGAGAGCCTTCCGCCAGGTCTCCCTTCCCACAAGGTTTCGCTGTCACCTCCCTGGGAGCCGAAGGCAGCTCGGCTCACCACCTGCCACAAATTGTCCCCCAGCTGATAGCTGTGCGGCAGTGGTTAACCCGCACGTACATAGCCTTTGGGTGCCGGGCCTCATGCAGAGCTTGTAGTGGCCCTTCAGTCAGTGGGGAGGGACATCCCCAGAGAAGGGCCCCTTGTGCTCCCAGCGGGCATTTCAGAGAATCAGGGCGGGCTTCCCTCAGGTAGATGGGAAGAAAGGGCTAAAGCCAGTTGGCGACGCCAGGTACCAGCCCGCGGCCCTGCCTTGCAGGCTGGAGGAGCAGACCCGGAGGCTGCAGAAGGACATGAAGAAGAGCGCCGATGCCGACCTGGGTAGGTGGCCCGTCCCAGCCCACGAGCTGGACTGGGCAGGGCACAGGCGGAGGCCCCCTTGCTCAGTCACCTTAGGGCTGGCTCTGAAGTAAGTGCATTTCGTAGATGCCCAGCCGATGTCCCTGAGAAGTGGCTTGGGGTCACTCTTCACGTAGTAGGTCCCCAGTCACCCCCTCCCCGGGCGCAGCCAGGTGGCATGCTGGCTCCTGTGGTCTGTGCCACAGAGCCCCGGGGCAGCGCGATCCAAGGACATGGGCACGTCGGAACATGACAGCCCTCCCTCCTGGCCCCTGGCGACTCCAAAGTATGCGCGCAGCCAGCCAAGGGGCTGCTTTTGGAGACTGGCTGTGATTTGTTTTGAAGTTAGCTCTGAGTTACCTGGATGGCATCTTTCTTTATCGTCCCTCACTGCCTTTCTAGTACGGGCTGTGACCTGTTGCTTCCTTTCTTACTACTGTGTGTCCCTGAAACCAGGGGTTGCCTAGTGACACCAAACCTGGCCTCCTCTGTTCAATAAAGCTTTATCGGAACACAGCCACACCATTCCTTACGTGTTGTCTGTGGCAAAATTGAGTGCTTGCAACAGAAACCATGCACCGTGCAAGCCTAAAGTCTGGACTGTCTGGCTCTTTACAGTACGTCTGCTCCCCTGCTGTAGTGTGCTGTGTTACTCTTGCCCCCGATGCCACGCTGCACCTCCCAGGCACCTGGACAGGTGTTCTGAGATGCATAGTCTTGGATTCCAGACTTACTGACCTAGAACCTCTGCAGGTAGACTGCATTTCTTACAGCTTCCCAACCCAGAGTTGGGGGCACGTTGTCATTACGACAAGTAAAAGCGCCCAAAGCATTATCCAGAATAGCGTCAGATGGTCAGGAATGAGCATTTATGCAGTAAGGACTAGTGTCTTATGCTCTGTGGTACCTTGTAGGTTGTATGGCCTCTGGCCATGGGTGCAGGTCATCTGGGTGCAGACCATGGACTGAGGGACGACGGGGAGCCCTAGCGACAAGGCCTGGAAGCCAGTCCCTTCACAAGGTCACTGAACTCTGACTTCTTACAGCCATGTCCAAGTCTGCTGTGAAGATATCCTTGGACTTGCTCTCCAACCCCCTCTGTGAGCAAGACCAGGACTTTCTGAACATGGTGACCGCCCTGGACACAGCCATGAAGCGGATGGATGCCTTCAACCAGGAGAAGGTGACTGGGGCCTGGGTCTCCTCTCTGGAGGGACGCCTGCGTAAAGGGCTCGGGCCCTGCTCCGGGCACCCTCAGCCCGCTGAGGCCGGCGCGCCCCAGCTCTGTGAGCTCGCCCGGCGGGTCTGCTCGCTGCGGCTCCCACAAGCCCCCGTCACTCCCAACGAGGCCAGGACGGCTGCCCCACTGGGCGAGGCCACTGTTGGCTTTGGCAGGTGAAAAATTTACCAGGGACAAGGACAGGGTGCTCCTGCTACCCTCCAGGCTTCCTGGCCGCCATTTCTTCCCCACCCCAGCTGCAGTTGGGGGTGCCCACCTCACCTGCTCTACCCTCGTGCTCTTCCTACTGGGCTCTTGGGGTACCCCTGACAGGTCTTCTTTCTCTTCTCAGGAACTGGGCACCTCCCCCTTTAGGAAGAGTCCAGCTTCCTCCCAGTTTGGATGTCACTGGGTTTTTCTTTTGACAGGTGAACCAGATTCAGAAGACAGTGATTGAACCCTTGAAAAAGTGAGTAAAGGCCATCTGGGGACCCCAGGCCTTGGGGAAGTAGGCCAGGGCGCTTACTGGAAAGGCAGGTCAACTGCTCGCCTGGGGACTGAATCTCACTTCTAGGGCATGGGGTTGACAGGAAACTCAACGGGCCGTGGCTCTATGACCTATGGCCCCAGGGTCGACACCACTGGCAGCCGCAGGGCACTGGTGGCCCTGCACAGCAGCAGCCATCGCTCCGGTGGCCATTTGGCCATTTTCCCTCTGTCCCCGGTGGCAGACCAGTGGGCCCAGAGCTTGCTGAGTTAAGCCGGTGAGGCTCGTGGCCAGCCCTCCGCGGAGATGAGCGAGGCCTTTCATCCCCCAGCCGGACTGGGAGAGCAGCTGCCTGCCGCTCCGGCTTTTGAAATGTGGGGGCGGCCGCACATGGGGAAGGGCGCAGCCGCGGGGTCCCGCCTGGGCAGGTCCCTAACTCGTGACCTGTCAGGGTCAGAAATTCTTCTGTGAGGCTCCTTTTCTGTCAGGCAGGCTCTGGTCAGCGATCAGACGGCCTATTCCCTGGGTCCCCTAAGGGGTGGGTATTGCCTTGAAGCTTCCGAATCACTTCATCTTCTTCCCCAGCCTCTCCCAGGCAGCCTCTGACCTAGAAAGGCCCGCTCAGCGCGGCAGCTGCACTTGATTACCTCTCTGTGGTGGTCCCTGGCAGCGGCCTCCCCAGGCCTAGGGAACGAGGCTCCGCTAATTACCGCTAGGCTGGATCAGGGCCCGGAGGGAGATGAGAGAGCAGGTTTGATCCTCCAGCCCCTGGTGCTGGGGTTGTTGAGCTCCTCACTCCCTGTCCGGGTCTGAGGGGTGGGGTCTGGGGAAATTCTCTCTAAGCTCTGCTGTCTGGAGGCTTGGCCATGGCGGGGCAGCTGAACCTGGCATGGGAAGGGGTTTCTTCCTGCACCCCTGCCCCTTCCCTTGTGCCCGGGCCCTAACCCTTGCTCGGCCCCAGGTCACAGGGCCTCATGAGCAGCTGGGTGCTGAGGTGGCCATCCGCTGCCTGTGGCATTCTGACCCCGTCTCCAGGACCAAGGGTTCAGAGCTGGCTGGGAGAGTCCAAGGGCAGAGCAGACCCTGCTCACGGGGGCCTTGGGCTGCCGTGGACACCCCCACTGGCAGAGCTAGGCAGGGGACCCAGCTCAGAGGACCGGGGGACTGGCGCCTGTCTCGATTTCACAACCAGCGAGGCGGCCTTGAAATCTGATGCTGGGCTTCAGGAGCCAAGTGCAGAGAAATCCCGGCTGCTTCCCACCACCCAGCAGCCCACCACCTGCCAGGAAGGTGGGTGAGCGGCAGAGGGGGCGGGCACCATCTCCGCCACAGATCCGCTGACCTCCGTGTGAGCCCTGGGCCTGCCTGGCTCCCCAGCCTGGCTGCTGTGCACCCAGGGCCGACACGCGATCCCCCTGACCACAGAGAACCGGCACTGCCTGTTGCCTCCTCTTGCCAGGAGAGAAGCTCCCAGGGACCCCAGCACCGGAAACAGGAAACTGCAGCTTTCCTGTCCTCTGATGAAGAACATTGCCACATGGCTGCCCTGCCGCCCCCAGCCTCCCCCAGCCTCCCCCCAGGGGGCTCGGCCTCTAATCCCCCCGTCCCTGGGCTGTGTTCACATGGTCGGATGGGGATGCTTTCAATTTCCCTTTCCTGGTGGGTGGAAGATCCCGGCTGTGTGGGCACAGACTGAGGAATGGCAGGCATTCCCCACCAGGACCGGCTGCTCCCAGCCCACCTCCCAGCCGGCCTCTCTCCGCCTCCCCCTTTCCCTCCTCCCTCTCTCTCTGCCTCTTCACCCCAGGCTTACCCAGGGGAGGCAGTTTGCTGTACCTTAGGACAGGCAAGAAATGGCAGTCGTCGTGGGCAGAGCCTCAGCACGTGCCTGGTGCAGGCCCAGCCCCTTCTCCCACCTCTGAGAATAGCCAGAGCTTAGGCGCTGTGATCTAGTGCCAAAGCCAGGGTGGCATCGAGAGGAAGTGGACCACGAGGACGCCTGCCACGGCGGCACAGCGTAGCACAGTGGAGTGGGGAAGTGCTGGACGGGCACTCCCAGCCTGCCCTGACCCAGCCCATGACCTTGGCCAGGGCCTGCCCCTCGGAATTGAACCAGCGACCTTTTGGTTCACAGGCCAGTGCTCAGTCCACTGAGCCACGCCATTCAGGGCTGTTGAGGCTTTTAAAAGCCAAATTCATGGTCCTGTCCCTTTGAGAGGCTGACTCAGAAAATCACTGTTCATCACATTTCCCACCTGTGGAAAGGGAGCGCCCAGCCAAACTCTCAGAACAGCATGGCCAGTATGTAGCAGGGGAGGGATGTGTCAGGGGCCAAAGTGGCAAGTGGAGCCTTGTGTGCGCGGCTGAGAGCCTCCTGGGGCCCTGGCACAGGGACTTCCTGTTCCCCTCACTACTGATGGCAGGGGAGGGGGCAGGGCACCGTGCAGAGGGCCCAACAGGCCAGCCCGGGTTCTGTGTGTAGCCTGCCCAGTGAAAGGGGGGGCTTCGTGCCTCAGGGAGAGCGGGTGCCCCCCCTTGCCAGGGGAACCACCAGGTGCATCTGTAGGACCCCCAGGGCACATCTGGTAGGACCCGGGCACGGGGACCAGGCATGCTCGAGGTCGCCTCCTTGCAAACTTGCCTCCCCTGACCTGGAGGCGGAGGAAGGCAGTGAAGCGCCCTCATGGGGAAGGAGGTCCCGCTGCCAGACAAGCTCCTCCCCTCGCACAGCATCCCGCTGTTCACATACGCGGCACATGGGGGCTGGCAAAGTCCGTCCTCTGAGTAGTCGGGGTGGGGGGGTGCCTCAGTGGGCAGCAGCCTAGAGTCAGGGTTAGAGTGCCCCCACTCTTCTCTCGGCCACTCAGAACATACTGTCCGACCCTCCCTGTCTGACCCCAGTTTCCCCACTTTAGTGTGAGAAGAGCAACAGCCACCCTTGCCCCTGAGGAGTCCCCAAGCCAGGGCCAAAGCCACCTAAGTGGTGGGTGATGGGTGGTCCGCGCAGAGGGAACCAGGTCGCCTGGGCCTTCCACGTCCTCATGGTTTGACTGCGGGGTTCTGCTGGGGGAGGCAGAAGTTACCATGGCAAAGAAAGTGTTTTCCTGGGGGTCCAACAGCAACAGCGAGCAGTTCCCGCTGCAGCCACCTCCGCCCCACGGGGGCAGGTGGCCTTGCTCCCAGAGGCCAGGCGGCGTCCTGCAGACTTGGCCCCAAAGCCGCCTGGCAGTGCGTAGGGATTTGGAACCACTGGATCCACACCTTCATCATCCAGGGCAGCAGGCGCCCAGGCGCCGGGCCACCCAAGCAGCAGACTGCTTCGCATGAGAGCAGCGGGGCAACTGCTGGTGGCCCCCAGTCCAGCTTGGGTGGAGAGGGAGGTGGCATGATGGCCTCTCAGGCCCAGCGCCACCTGCTCCCTCTCAGCTGCTGGTCACGCTCCTCCCAGGAGGGGACCCCAGCAGAGCAGCCGCCTGGGGCCAGAGCAGTGCGAGCTCAGCCCCTCTCCAGGGGCTTCCCCGCTCAGACCTACCCGGGGCCCTTCACCTGCAGGCGGCGGGTGCCCCCAGCCAGCAGGCTTGGCACGCACGAGGCCTCGTCTTCTGCAGGGCGAGTCAGCCATTCAGCAGTGTGAACCCAGTCACTGGAGGAAAGGGCACACGACTGAGGTTTCTGAGACATTTGCGTGGGCGTATCTACTTCCTCCACATTTCCGGTCAGGGGTGAGCCCGTTGAGGATCCCCGTTAAATGAGAAGGATTCGTTTTAGTCCCCTTTCTCAGCGATAAGCCGTCTATTTCATCAGAATCTACTGCCTGAGTCTAAGGCTTTGTTTGGGGCTTTTAATGCTCTGGTCAAGTTTATATTCTGTATTCTCTGGCAAAGGTATTCATTTCTCTTAAATGATGTGTACTCTTGATTTGATGAGGCTTTTTTTTTTTTTAAGATTTTATTTACTTTTAGAAAGAGGAGAAGGGAGGGAGAAAGAGGAAGAGAGACATCAAGATGTGATAGGTTGCTTCTCAGGTGCCCCCAACTGGGGACCTGGCCTGCGACCCAGGCATGTGCCCTGACTGGGAACTGAGCCGGCAACCGTTCTGTTCACAAGCCAGTGCTCAATCCACTGAGCCACACCAGCTAGGGCTGTTGAAGCTTTTAAAAACTAAATTCATGGTCATGTCCCTTTGAGAGGCTGACTTGGAAATCACTCTTCATGTGGTATCTGAACCACCTCAAGACAACCCATGTGCTCAGATGCGCTCCTGGCTCTGAGCGCCGTGCTAGGCTGAAAGCAGCAGCTGCCCCGCCCCCATCCTTCATCTGCCCTGAGTTGCTCCAGAAGGAACTGGCTTTCCCTTGGGCTTCTCAGCCCTGAAGACCCGCCCTGCTGTCACTTTCCTCTGTGGCGTGGCCAGTTCTCCCCTGGCTGCATGGTAGCACCTCCCACCTTTTCCGTCCTGTGTCCAGCAGTCCTGCTTACAGGCTTGTCTTGTCCCATCCAGCACTTATGTGTCAAGTGACATGCAGCATCCCTGCCTGGGACAAGTTCTGCTCCATATCAGTCTCAAGATCTCATTGCCCTTCCCAGTTAACAGTGGCACTGGTCACAAAGAGGTGCCCATGGGGGCCAGGAACAGGTGTCTGCTGCTGCTTTTTCTGAGTAGCCCACTCCTGAGTCACCGTGGGGTAAAAGAGTCCTTGAGCCATTCTCCAGCCTCTGGTTGGACAGTGGGCCGTCTTGGGTGGGGCCAGAGGCACCCTGCTTTCCCTGCGGTCAGCTAGTAGGCTGGACCCACAGTGGGGAGTGTTTATTTGGAGGGGCTTTTAGGCTTGTTAAAAACCTCTTTATGAAAAGTGATTTTATTATTATTATTAAAGGATAGTGGACATACAATGTTACATCAATTTCTGGTGTGTACCTACCGATAGGAGACGTATATGCCTTATGAAGTGATTGCCACCAGAGGTTTAGATTGCAATTCTGTCACCTGTGGGTGACATCTGAGGTGGTGGGGAGGTGCCACACAGAACTGGGACACTTGGGTTCTCTTCTGGACCATCACTATCTAATTGTGACCTTGGACATGTCACGTCCTCTCTGGCCTCAGTTTCTTTCATGTTTTTAAGAAGGAGGTGTTGGCCCGATGGCTTCCCAGGAGTCCTCCGTCCCGCCGTGCCCCATTATGGGTCTCTCTAGTGGGGGGTAGGGGCAGTGGCATCCTAAGTGGCCTCAGGGATTCATGACCCACTATGTCTTGCCCAGGCCAGTGGCAGGGCCAGGGCCTGATCTCCCCCATTCACAGCAAAACCCCCAAGACCTAGACAGGGATCTGGCACTTAGTAGGCACTCAGTGCATGTTTTTGAGTGGACGGTGAGCTGCCAGCCCGCAGCTCCAGGAACGGGCCGTGTCCAACCTGCCTGTGCTGGCAGGTTCGGCAGTGTCTTCCCGAGCCTCAACATGGCGGTGAAACGGCGGGAGCAGGCCTTGCAGGACTACAGGAGGCTGCAGGCCAAGGTGGAGAAGTACGAGGAAAAGGAGAAGACGGGGCCTGTGCTGGCCAAACTCCACCAGGTACCCAAGAGGGGCGGGGATGGACAGGGGCCAAGGGACACGTGTGGCAGGTCTTCCTTTTCCTGGGGACCAGCTTGGGGGCTGGAGGACCTAGACGCCTGGTGTTCTGATGCCTGTACACAGACGCGCGCACGCACAGGGCCCCGGCAGGGAGGCTGGGTACGCCAGCGAGAGCTCTGACGGCCAGGCTCCTGCTCCCCAGGCCCGAGAAGAGCTCCGGCCTGTGCGGGAGGACTTCGAGGCCAAGAACAAGCAGCTGCTGGACGAGATGCCGCGGTTCTACAACAGCCGGCTCGACTACTTCCAGCCCAGCTTTGAGTCTCTGATCCGAGCGCAGGTGAGGCTGCCCCCATGGGCTCTGTAGATGCGCCTCATGGCAGCCGCCGCTCCCCACACCAGAAGGGCCTGAGCCGTTCCCTGCCAAGACAGCTACCCACCCTGACCCCAGCACTGTCCCGAGGGAAGGAAGCCGGGGCGCCTGCTCAGTTGCTGGGATTTCTGTTCCTGCATTGCCCTTTGGTTCATCCCACCCTAGTCTAGTGTTAACTTGTTTAACAGCTCTTCTTCCCTCGAGTTCTCTCTCACACTTCACCCCAGTAACAAGAACAAATGCCCACCTAGTTACTCCTCTTCCTTTGGTGGGAGACCACAGAGTATCTTGACTTTCAACAACCCTTGGAGGGAACCCTGAACCCTGGGGATAGCGACACTCAGCGGCCACGGTGCGCCTCCCGGCAGGAGAGGTAGGCAGGGCATGGAGGGGAAGTGCACAGCGGAAGCCCTGGGGCCGAGCAGCCAGCCCTGTGCCTCCTGCCACTCTAGTGTGTAGGGACACAGCGTGCGACGGGCGTAGCTGCTGCCCTCCTTGGCCCCTTCACCTCACCTCCTTCAGGCCACTCTCAGGGATTAGTTCCTGTTTATACAAGAGAAGAGGCTGAGGTGCCAAAGCCAAGGGGTCTCCTCCACGTGGGACCCCAGCTGACTGCAGCTGCTCAGCACTCTGCCACCTTTCCCACCTGTCCCCGCCAGGTAACAAGTTAAATGCCCGAGGCATCCCATCCACCCCAGCCCTCTTCAGCTCTTGGCCTGGGTGTTTGGCGCCCCCCAGTGGACACTCCTTGCAGCGTCCACAGTCACAGGCGCCCAAGGAAAAGCCTGATTCCTGCCTGCCATCTTCAGAGCACACAGAACCCGTGGGACTCATACTGGGGATCCGGAACCCTGAGCAGGATTGACAGTGGAGCTGGAACTCATTAGTGACCATGTTCCTGGCCGCTGAGGGAAAGCGAGGCAGAAAGCCAGCGTGCACGGGGGAGCGGGGTTCCCTCCCTTGCCCCAGAGCATTGCCCTGTAGGTGAGGGCTTCTTTCTAGCAGCTTCCTCCTGGGTCTGGAGGCACGTGTTTAAGGAGCCCTGTGTCTTCCTTCCTGCACCCCTTGCCTCCTACACTGTCGCCGCCCATGTTCCCAGCCCCCGCCCCCTGCGGGCTGCCCTACCTCCTCCACCCTGTTGCTCAGGGAAGAAGCTGGCGGGGAGCGGCAGAGAGGCATCGGGGTACCCTGTCGCCAGGCAGTGAGCGGGGTGGCCGGGGGTGTTGCTGCCTCCTTGGCACCAGCCTCCCCTCCCGCGGCTGCGCTGCCATTAGTCACTGGAGAAGTGAGCATCCTAGTGGCTCAGCCAGCAGTGCTGCTCTGAGGGCACCCCCTGCTAGCCCAGCACTAGCCCAGGCCCCTGAGCCCCGAGGGGACAGGGTGTGAGAGCCTTGATTTAGCTCCCCTCAGTCCTCGCTGTGGGAGACACTTTCTCGGGAGCAGTTCAGCCGTGACCTGCGTGCGGCCTGCCCTGACTAGTGACCACGCTCTGTGTTTCTCAAGTAGCAGAGGTCCTTTTCCCCAAGGACGGCTTGGGGCGGGAGGCGGTCACATCGAGGCATTTTTGAATAGTATGGAACACTTTCAGGGAAATAAGCACTTTCATTTGTCATGAGATGGAGACTTAGGCAAAAATGGCTCCCCTGGCCAAGCCCGCTCCTGACCTGCTCCAGCCCGGGGCCTAGGCAGCCCTCAGCCGTTTCTTTGAGAGCTGCCAATGGGAGGCCCATTGGACGTGCTCCCCTCTGGGCTGTGCCCCATAGTCATGATTAACAGACGAATGGAGAGGGAACAGAAGGCTAAGGTGTCATTATTCTCACCTTCTTGAGACCAATCTTCAGGGCTTTTGGAGCCTGGCATATCCTGTCCTCATGAACAAAAGTAGCAGGCTTCTCCTAGGTCCTATGAAGCAGTGAGCCCCCAGGCACAGTGCCGGACTCCCTGGTCCCCCAGGACCTGCCGAGGGCCATCCCATTCCCCCAGCCCTGGCCTTGGTCTGTGCTGTCTCCCTCCACCACCCAGTGCACGTGCACACACGGCCAGCTGCTTGGAGAGAAGGGCAGAGCCCCCCCTCCAGCGCCCACCTCCTAAGGATCTGTGGCTTCCCTTGCCCTTTGACTTACTGCCGCCCCAGGCGGCGGGTAGTCCCAAGGGGCACCAGACGGCAGCTCACTCCTTCCTGGTTGCCGTGCAGTTTAGGGAGATGGGCGGAGCGGGGAGAGCAGCAGCGGAGGAGCCGGGAGAAGCCAGCCCAGAGGAGACAGTGCTGCGGGGGCTTGGCGCCAGGGTCCCAGTCCTGCCGACTTCCCCCTGCCTCCCCCCAGGTCATCTACTACTCTGAGATGCACAAGATCTTCGGAGACCTGACCCAACAGCTTGACCAGCCCGGCCACTCGGACGAGCAGCGGGAACGGGAGAACGAGGCGAAACTGAGCGAGCTCAGAGCCCTCTCTATTGTGGCGGATGACTGAGCCCTGGCATGGGCCCCCCCCCGCCCCGACCCAAGACTCCTGGAGCACAAGTCAGCCTCTCCAGCCTGCGCCCTTTCCAAGCTCTGCTCAGGCCTCAGCCGGTGGGGGCCTTCCTCAGGAGAACTGTGGGGCTTGCGCCCCCGCCCCTGCCTCAGCACCCTCTGGAATGAGCCTGGTACCCGGAGCCCCAAGCAGGCTGCTGTCTCCCCACCCATGACAGGAGCCCACAGACAGGTAAGGAGCCTAGAAGAACTGCTTTCTTATTTTGAGAACCGGCCCAGCCCGGCACCGGGCCCCCCAGCCTGCAAGGGCCGGGGCTCCGTCAGCTCACCGGCGGCCTCAGCCGTGCGCAGGCTCGGTCCCACCTACCTCCCGAAGACCCGTCCTGGGGGTCCGCCCGTGCTGCAGCCTCCCCCACTGCCCCCCGCTCCGGGAGAGGGCCCGACACCGCCCTGGAGGGCGAGTGCTGTGGTCCCCCTGCCCCGACGGGCCCTCGCACCGGGTCACCGTGCTTGGCAGAGGCTCGCTCAGCCCACTTCTATCCTTTCGGTCAAGGGCAGGGAAGACCCGTCTGGAAGGTTCCCTAGGAAACGGATTCAACTTGTGCAAATGTCCTACCGCAAAAAAAAAAAAGTCACCGATTCACAGGCCTCAAAGCAACAACAGTGGGTTTGTGTCTCGACCAAATATTTGGAATTTTATTTTTTCAAGTAAAGTTTTCAATAAAATTTCTTTGTATTATTGTGCTGTAATTAAGGAAAGGAGGGGAGAGCCACCCCAGGTTTTTCTTAGGGTAATGCTGCCCCCTGCTGAGCTGGCAGGACCCCTACAGCATCCTCCCCGGAGCTGCCGGAGGCCCAGTGCAAGGGGGCTCTGCTCAATCTCCGTCGCCCGGCCCGCCCGGCCCGCCTTCGGGAGGCCACTCCACCTCCACCCGGCAGAGGCTGGGCCCAGGGCCAGGAGGAAGGGCAGGCGCAGAGGCAGACCTGGAAGAGGACGAAGGGAAAAGCTATGGAGGACACTTGGGTTTGTTTTTGACTTTGGTTTATTTAAAAAACAAAAAGAAAAAAAAAACAACTTTATATACAAAGTCAAACTGAAACCATGGATTATGGAAAGAGGTGAGACTTATGGGGCACAGGGAAAAGGCTGGGCCAGGGCCGATACCACACTGTGAACACGGGGGCCAGGGAGCTGAAGTGCTGGTTTCTTCTGGCAAGTCTGGGGTGGCTGCCACAGAGGGCACTGGCAGGCAGCCCAAGAGCACGCGCCCGCTGGCACTGACTCCATTCCTCCAAAGGCCACAGGAGACGTGTCCCCAGAACCTGCTCCTGTGACCTAGCAGGGTCTGTGCCATCTGGAGGAAGGGATCTTACCCCAGCCAGATTCCACGTCTGTTTCTTCATTTATTGGCATCAGACCTTAGGACAGTCAGAAGCCTTTTCCTCCCCTGTCTTACTCTAATCTGGAAGAGGACAGGAGAAAGCACAAGACTAAAGGGCCCCAGGAGAAACCCCAAGGTAGAGGGCAAAATGACATTCGAGGGGTGCAGAAGATGTTTAGTTGTAAGTGGAACCGGCTCCTCACTCGTCCGTCCCACACAGCACAGGCAACCCCGCCCTGGCGGCCTGAGCTCCCCACACAGGCTGAGCACAGGCGTCAGCGCCCGCCTCCGGCTCCCAGGTCCTGCTCCAGCTGCTTTCTGGAACCAAAGGGCTCTAACTTCAGCAGGCTCCATCGCTGACCTCACAGGACGGCAGCTCCTGCGCCAGGCCCCTCAGTTGCTAGGCGCTGGTTCCTCCTTCTCTACCCAGCTGTCAGCCTATTTGAAACAGACAGCACAAGAATTAGGACCCGAGGAGGCAGGACTACTACCCGCTTCCTCCTGGGGGGACCCGAGGGTGCAAGCTGCTGACCGGTGGGCGCCCTAAGAAACCAGTGGCTGGGGGAGGAGGCGAGATAGACCTGGCGTCACCCTGACCAAGCCTCCCGATGCCACGCCAGCTCTCCGCGGCTCACCTTCTCAACCATTCGCTGCATCTCCAGCTGCAGGGGGGTCAGGCGCCGCCGGAAGTCGTGCAGCAGCCGCTGAAGCTGGTTCTTCTGTCGCTCGGCTGTGCGGGCCGTGTCCTCAGCCTCAGCCAGCCGGGTGCGCAGCTCCTGCATGTCTGCTGCCAGTGTCTTGTTTGTTACTTCAGTGGCAGAGAAGCGGTTATGGCTCTCCTCTGGTGGGGAACATGCCAGAAAGACAGCTGCTAAGTTAAGGACCGGAGCACAGGGGAAGAAGCCTGAAGCCCAAGGAGCGGGGAGCCGCCTGGGCCAGGGTGCACATGCCTGCGCGGCCCATCGCCACAGGTCCCTGCAGCGCGGGCCACTCACCCAGCTTCAGTTCCAGTGTGTGAATTTTGTTCTCCAGATAGAGCCGGCCGCTGTCCTGCTGCTCTGCCCGTAGCAACAGGTTCCCCACGTTGATGAGGCTGCCGTTGTGGGACACCAGGCCTTTGTGTTCCGTGGGTGCAGCTCCTGGCTTTGCACTTTTCTCAGAAGGAGGTAGCAGGTCCAGGTTTCCTAGCAGGGGCCATGAGGAGGAGGTAAGCGTCGGGTCCTGGGAAACGACAGCAGCCCCGCCCACCCTGCACAGAGGGCTGCACAGAGGGCTGCACAGAGCCGGCACACACCGAAGAGCGCCTCCTCGGGAAGCCCGCCGTCTGGGCCCTCCGCGCGGCTGTACTGCAGGCTGCGGTACTGGCAAATGTTCTGGGTCACCACCCTGCTGACCAGCTGTTTGGCCTGTAGAAAACATACACCCAAGGTCCCCTCTGATGAGAAGGTGCAAGCCCTTGCCCCCGGGGTTTGGAAGAACTTAGAACTAGAGCATTCTGAGTCCCCCACGGGAATTAGGGGCGTGCCTTTGCCCAGTACGTGGGGTGAGGCCCCCTCAGAAAGGACCAAGGGGTGCGAGGGAAGGCACCTGCTCTGCACTGAGCCGGAGCCCAAGGGTAAGCAGAATCCTCTCCAAGTCTCGCCGGTGCAAGTAGCCACACCAGTTCGCATCAAAGAAGACAAACGCGAGAAGGCAGTCCAAGGGGAGCACAGCAGAGGGGTCCAGCTCCTTGGGCTGCAAGCAAAATAAGGATGAAGAGGATTATAAGTAGTTCTCTCAGCGACGAAGTCGCCCAGGACACAGCGCCTCCAGAGCGGCCTGGCTGACGCGATCACACCCAGGTGCCTTTCCGTGGGATACCTGACCCCAGGCCTACAAGCGAAGGCCTGTCGGGGGCGCTCCCGGCTCCAGGGCTGCCGCGCACAGCGGGACCGAGTGCACTCCCAGACTGGGCACCTCACTCGGGTTCACCCTGAGAGAGACCGAAAGGTCTCCTGGCTTCTACGCAAGTGCTGTTCCACAAGGCCAGACCGCATTTTGTTTTTTGTCAATCAACAGACACTGAAGTCATTTGGTAGAAGTGTCCCTCTCCAAGGACTGACCCAGGCCTTGTCACTGTCACTGAGGACGGAGGGGCAGGACAGAGGTCTCACCATGTCCTGAAGGGATGAGAACTCCATCTCGGACTGGTTGGAGGCAACAGACCGCACCTCGGAATCCTCCAGCTTGGCCCCTGCTACAGAAAGCCAGAGGTGAGCTCGGGGCAGGGGCCACACGGCCAGGTGGGCTCCAGGTCCGACAGGAGAGCTGGCGCCGGGGCCAGGACGCCGCCGGCGGGCGCCCACATGCGCCCCTGCCCCCAACCCCAGGCCTACCGAATTCCTCCTCGCCGTCGTCCCTCAGCAGCAGCAGCTCCGGGTCGAGAGCCATCTCACAGAGGTCCTCAGACGCCTCCCCCCGGGGCTTCTCCTCTTCCTCTCCCCCAGCAGACGGGGGTTTCGGCAAAAGCCCATCCTCCTTCTGTGGGGAACAGACCAAGAGGGGAAGGGCTGTCATCTGCGTGAACCAATGGTAACAATGGCTCACGCTGCACATGGGCCCCATGCAGGCCCTGCGTGGGCCTGCGTGCACCTTCATCTCATGGGATGTGTTTCATTACATAGGGTTCGGGGCAGACCAGGCGATTTCCAGACGCCTGGGGTTCTCCGCTTCAGACGGGGTTAAGAAACGCAACGCTCTGGTTGGCCACGCGCCTGTCCGCCTCAGAGCGCGCTCATCCTCAGATCCCCTGCTGCCATGCCAACCACACTTCCCACCTCTCCGCCCACCTCCCGCCTAGCACAGCACCCGCTAGCCGCTGAGGACACTCTCGGGCCCCGAGGCACAGGCAGGGGTTGACAGGAGTGCCGAGAGGAGACCCGCCAGGTGCCCAGAGCCGCGCCGGGCACCTGTCGCACAGCGGCCCCAGCGCCCGTGCAGGGCAGAGGTACTCACCGGTGGGGCGTCTGACTCGGCGGCTGCGCCCTCACTCTGTACCTCATCCTTGGACTCCTTGGCCACCTCCTCCTTGACCGCTTCTTCTTCCTTGGCCACCTCCTCCTTCTCAGGTTCAGGTGGGGCCACGACCTTCTCGGGAAGGCTCAGCAGCATCTTATAAATCCTATAGCCAAAGTCCCTCTGCAGCATCTCCAGAAACAGCTCAGCCAACACCATCACCTGGTGAAAGAGGCAGCGGGGGCCCCAAGCGTCAGGAGAAAGGTGTTCCAAGACCCGCCATGCACTTGCCCGCATGCACTGCCCCAGCGGTCTCCCCAGACTCCTCCGCCCACCTCAAAAGATATCCTCTCTTTTGGCCTCCGGTCCTCCACAATGCCATGGAGGGAGAGGTTTACACAGCCGGGGTGCGCCATGACAGCAGGCTCTAGAGGGGGCGGAGGGGCCTCTGGGAGATCGGTGTCCACTTCCTGCTGTGTGGTGACCTCCGGGTTCTCTGCATTCTGTTTAGGGGCGTCCGCTGCTTGCTCTGACGCATCAGCTGCCTGTTCTGTAGGCTCTGTTTCCTGTGACAAAAGCCGAGAGCGGTGACCACCGGGCTTGGGTCAGGGAACCTGCTCTCCCCACCTGCTCAGGAGGCTCCACCTTACCCCTGGCACCTCCTGGGCCGGGGGCGCTGCCTCGGCAGCTTTCTGCTGACACAGGGCCTCCCACTCCTCCAAAGTAGGCATGATGGTCCAGATATCCGGCAGGTACACCACCACAGTCTGGAGCCGCCTCGGGGGTCCCGGCTGCAAGTACTGAAACTCAGCAAAGCGCCACCTGCTCGCAGCAAAGGGAAAAAACAAGGTGGTGTCCCAGAACGTTCACAAGCAAGTGCTTCTGTTTCCAGTGAACATTTAATCAGCACATACTGCAAGCCAGGCTTTGGAAGTTCAAAAATAATAAAGACCGAGTCCTCGAGAAAGGGCCAGTGGGGAGGCCCCAGCCAGCAGACGTTTACTCTCCGAGCCGCTAAGGCACAAGGAGCAGCACCACAGGCCCCTGGGAGGGGGGTTCCTACCTGCCGAGCCCGGAGGGGCCAGCTGCCCTTCCACACACACCGCCCCCGTCTCGCTCACGGTCAAGGCGCCGTCTGTGAGGGCCGGGGGGAGGGGGAGCGGGGACTAGGGAGCAGAGGAGAGCTAACAGGTCAGAAAGGTACAGAAGCTTGGCCTGAACTCAACTCGCCAAGTGTGGGCCCTCAGATGGGAGCTCGGGGCAGCCACTCACCACTTTGTGCAGGCGCTCAAGTCAATGCCGGTCTGGGCTTGCGCACAGCGGATGGCAGTGCGGACTAGCACCTGCGGG